TTCTCAAAATTATTAACTTCGCTACAAGAGTTATTACCGGCCTCAAAAAGTACGACCACGTATCTCGCGCGCGGGATGACCTGCGCCTCAAATCGGCCAGTGACATGTACCGGGTCGCAGCGGTGACTGTCGCGCGCGGTGCGATTGTGCGCGGTGAACCGACCGTCCTCGCCTAACTGTTCGCCACGAACGCGGGGTCGCGGGCCAGTGGTGACCGCACCACCCGGAATGACCGTCGCCTACGGCCACCGGTTTCGCGCACTGCGGCTGGGCAGCGGGCCTTTTCACACCAAGCGACCGCGCTTTTAAACCAGCTGCCCGCTGCCCTTTTAGATCTCGACCCGGACAGTTTTAAGGAAGCAGTAAAGGCGCACTTCTGATGGGTTTCCGAGAGGCTGTTTTTGTCGGTGGTCTGATTGCGTATGACGTGTGCATTGAGTGCCTGATGTGTGCTGGGTGTGTGATTTCTGACGGTAAATTTTATTCCCATTTTACCCTGATGTATGTTTTCTTTTTAACTCTCTGTGACTAGAGACACAGAATAGCCACGCCCATGTGGAGTTGTCTGCCTTTGTCAAATACAAAAAAAAGTAATATTGAACCGAACCAACAGAAGTTAGTGCGTTGATTGTCTGTCACTAGTCACCAGGCTGCTGCTAATCGCTATATGCCCGACTGATCCCGCTACATATATGGCGCATCAATCGTCGAACCGATCCACCGGGCAAGTTTGGTACACAGCACGGTGCAATGGGGTATGTGGCGAGGTGTCTTGTGGTCCGGTCGTGGTGCACTAATGGTCCGGCCGTGGTGTTTACCCGTACCACAATGAGCTCCAGTCGCTCGATAGGGAGATGTTGAAGGTCGGCAGCGAAAGGCCGGCTTCCTCGTGTGGGGCCGTGGCCGAGACAAAGACGATGGAAATATGAGCGGTGACCACGTCTGCATTGTTTCTGGTACATGCAAGTTCCGCCCGAGTGCGGTCGCCAACCGATCACGAGTTGCCAACACATCCGGGTACTGCTGCGACTGGGCATTGCAGCAGATAAGTTAGGCTTGACATTGATGTGGAGAAGACTTGACATCACATCAATAATGCGACTGGAAAAGGAGGCCGGGACTTGAGAGTGCCGACCATTAGCTATTGCCTGCCGACCTGCAGTGGTGGTCGGGTGCAGCGCCCGAGCGTAGCGCTTTTAAGGTCATCATCCCGCAGTTTGCACCCCGCAGAGAGCAGCCGCAGGCCGCTGAGGTTGACCGGCAGGGTGTCCGCTGCAGCCTCCAGCTCCCCGGTCGACGGCCGCACCGCCTATCAATCCCGCTTCCGGCGCGGCGTGGCGCCCGACCGACCGGCAGTCACTGCGGGGTTTACTCTCCGCACTGAGCCCCACTTCCGTCCCGCCACCCCCCTCTGCCTCGCTCAGCGCTCTGCACGGTCTGCAACTCAGCACGAGACGTGTGTACGAGCCAGGCTACCCGCCGCGTTACACATAGATCGCAATTGCAAACTGTGAGTGTGACATGACCTGACAGGTCTCGGAACTGTGAGTAATATGAGCCGGATATCACAGGTCTCCGAGGCGACCAACGAAACGTGCAGATATTATCATCCGGTTGGCGGTTCACTGAAACGCCGGGATACATGATATCAGTTTGTTTTTTATTACCTGGAAATGTAATCCGGAAACGAAAACACACGTTCGTCGCTTTCAAGATGACGCCACTTTTTCTTTCTCAGTTACGGTGATTATCTATGGTACCTCACTCTGGAAATCGAGCGAATGCAAGTGATGCGTGTTGGCAGTTCTACCAGCCTCGGTCTGGCGTGTGACAGGCGCTAATGTCGGCCGCTGTCCTCCGACAGGTGACTGACGGCCTCCGACAGGTGTGACGGACAGCGCGGCTGTCGGCCCGACACCCGCACCGTGTCGGCCCGACACCCGCGCCCCGTCTCGGCCGTCACTGTCAGAGAGGATGCTGCGGCATGGTCTGTGCGCTAGACCCAGTTTACGTGCTATTGGATAACGCGAAATGTAGGGCAGCGCGGACAGGGAGAAATGTGATTGTGTGGGGAGCAATTGCTATTATAAGGGCAGGTGTAGGTATAGTGCTTTACGAATTTGATATACGAGCATGTAGGTATTGTGCTGTTTAGCTGAATGTGTGAGCGGATAATTTGCACTGCAGGATCAATGGATATCTATTTTATACCTACTGCACCGGTCGTGACCCGTGAATTCCTTGCATCCTACAGACGCGTCACACACACGGTTAGGTAAACATGGTAAAGTGTTGGTTTTATTGTCAGCATCGATTATCGAATAGAGGTTGTTTGTCACTATAGAAAGCAATTCGCCTATCGGCATAATTCATCACAGCAGCTTACAATGTCTATGACATATTTTTCGACGCGACTTTATAATGCATGAAGCTTATACGGTGCCGTATATCTCTGAGGTGTCATGTGGGGGTGCACCTGTCTCCTGGCCTGGTTCTCAAGGCCAGCTTTCCCGGCGTTGTCACCGATCGGTCAGCCACCGTCGGTCTCTCAGCTCGACAGGAAAACGGTCCGGTAACGGCGAACCCCGCCCCATCGCCAGTCGCCACCCTACACCGCGTTATGTATGTATGTATTACAATCATGGACAATCCACACGGGTCGTGGCGATTACAGTCCACGGTGGCGATTATATATACCTACCAGACTCACGGTGTAGACCGCGTGATGTAGGCCGGGCTGCACTGTCCCGGCTGGAGCGCTTGGTAAACGTTGCAAATAAATTGACGTATTTTATTTATAAGGAGCCGTAAATGCGAGAGATTACCGCGCCGATTACCGTTGGTATATTGAAACTTACGTGTAGGCATATAAATGGTTTGAGTTGTGGGGACCACCAGAATACTGGGCAGTGCAATGGTCCCCATTTTATCTTCCATTTGTATTGATCAGGATTATTCCCGCCCGTATCTCCAGTCCTGTGCTCGTGAAGTCGGCCAAAACGTCTCCACGGTAGTCCATACTCGTTTTATAAAAACGTCTATGCCGAGCTCGGCATAGACGTTCATATAAAAAGAGTCTCGGTAAAGCCCCCATCTGGCCGGGAGGATGGGATGGCTCGGACCATGGGACGGGATGACCCGGAACTGCCTGGGACGGGCCGAGGACCGACACGGAATGGCCCGCGGGAGCTGAAGACGACTGGGGATTGGGATTTCCACAGTGCCGGAGCTGGAGGAAGTCGGCGGTCGGCTCGGAGTGGCGGCAGAACGCCTATCGCCACTCACTCGGCCACGCGGTAATGCCTAAGTTGCCGCCAGTGCGCTTCCATCTTCCGTGTAACATTTCCGGTGGGGCTGCAGGGGTCAGCGGCCGGGTCACGCAGTGGTGTCAGATCAGGTCACGACACGACCTCTGACCTGAGTTCGCTCGGTGTGGTCTCCTCGGTTCGCTCGGTTCTGCAGGGTTTTTAAAAGAATGAGAACGGATGGATTTTATAGAGAACAAGCACCACTGACCACATGCACAGTGATGGTAAGCACGGGGCAGAAGGGCTTTCACACAAGTCATTTTAACGGCAATGCGGTTCACAACAAATTAGTAGTAACCGAAATCTTTGACCATCCCCACTGTCGTCGTGGGACTAAGCCATATAGCCAAACCGGTCTACCTCACCTATACTCACAAATGATCATCGCTAAAGGGCGGCCCATGAAATAATATTGGGCTCGGGCCTTATATTTCAAAATTCTTCGTGTCACCGTTGCCCACTGCCTAGCTGTTGTTACCGTGCCGTGCCGCGACTCGGCAGCAGCAGCACTGTGACCGTATAACATACACATAAGGGATAGGAAACACGGACTGCACGCCGCCCCCGAGACTGATGATGAGGCGTACCGGACCGGAGCCTAGGACCAGCGCCCGCCATTCATCTTGCCATCACAAAAACAAACAGACGATCACCGCCGTGTGTCAGGAGGAAGGATGGGGAAGGGAGGGCGGTTGGTACGTGCACGATGCAGTGGTCGCACGGACGACTCTGCCCGTGAGCGACCCGCCGTGACTTCGAGGCGAGTCCAGATGAATACGGAGACGGGAGAAAGGACGAAATGAAAAAAGAAAGGATTCTGGATTACAGCCACGTTTCAACAGAGTGGTCCGTGAGTCGCAACTCACAGGCTGGCCGTTGGATGGTTAGAAGCCGACAATGAAATCAGAAATGCACAAGCTTGACAGTAAAAGACGGGCCAAGTGCTTCGAATTATGGTGTGAATTAAATGATGAAATCAGTATGTAGTGCTGCTATTTTATCGATTTTATCTACATGCCAAAAATCTCCAAAGATATTTGAGGAAATATGGCAGGCCACTTTTCAACGCTATTTTGCCGCAGGTGCGACGATTTTTTTAGACCACTAAATTATTCGCGTACGGCTCTAATGTTGCACGTGTATTTTGCACGCATTTTGAAAAAAATAATGTTATAACGCGCAGCAACAATATCAATACTGACAGTCTTTCTTACTTTAAAAAGAACTTCAGAAGCCAGAGAAGTAAGATTGAGTGCATTATTTGTTCACATAAAGAAGTGGAGTGTAAGTTTGACCAAGTTTTGCACAGGCTGTTTAATGGTTGGGTTGAGCAGTGAGATTCGTATCCGTGGCATTTCAATTTGGCAATGGTGGGGCTGGACCTTGGGCTGGACCTCTATTTCATTTCAACTTCAATTGATTTGATTTGATTTCAGTTGATTTCAGTTCAGGTTTGACTCGAGTCTGATGCATATGTCCAACATACGCTCTTGATTTGTCATTGTCATTGTCATTGAGCGGATTTACCATTGCCATATTTTATCGATTTTATCTACATGCCAAAAATCTCCAAAGATATTTGAGGAAATATGGCAGGCCACTTTTCAACGCTATTTTGCCGCAGGTGCGACGATTTTTTTAGACCACTAAATTATTCGCGTACGGCTCTAATGTTGCACGTGTATTTTGCACGCATTGAAAAAAATAATGTTATAACGCGCAGCAACAATATCAATACTGACAGTCTTTCTTACTTTAAAAAGAACTTCAGAAGCCAGAGAAGTAAGATTGAGTGCATTATTTGTTCACATAAAGAAGTGGAGTGTAAGTTTGACCAAGTTTTGCACAGGCTGTTTAATGGTTGGGTTGAGCAGTGAGATTCGTATCCGTGGCATTTCAATTTGGCAATGGTGGGGCTGGACCTTGGGCTGGACCTCTATTTCATTTCAACTTCAATTGATTTGATTTGATTTCAGTTGATTTCAGTTCAGGTTTGACTCGAGTCTGATGCATATGTCCAACATACGCTCTTGATTTGTCATTGTCATTGTCATTGAGCGGATTTACCATTGCCAATGCCATGCATATGCCACTGCCAGTGATTTATTGTCAAAATATCATGAGTGAACATGTGTCGCCCCTATTGTCCAAGTTTGTTTTTGAATGGAATTAAATGAAAGTGTCGACCTAATGTATATAAATACCAAAAGCTGAATACAGATTGAGATATTGAGGTTCATAAGAAGTTATAATAATAATAATAATAATAATAATAATCCATTTATTTCGTTAATTTTGATTTTATGCAGGGATGTGTTTGTATCTCAATCTGTTAGTTTATTCTAACTTTAAATTCATTATTCATATGGATGGACTACTTCATTTATAACATGCTTATCTTAAATGATGAAAACTCAAAACTTGAGCATTGTTCTGGCTTAGGTGCGTAGTGGTGAGGCTCTTTTGTCGTATACTTGATTGGTGTTTTTCAAGTTTGGTCAATTTAATTTATTCACCTTCAGTTAAAAAGGCTTAATTTTATTCATAATTCAACTCACCTGTTTGGGGTTCCCTGGTCTGTGAGTACTGAGTAGCCAACCTAATGGATTGAAGAGAAGGGAGAAGGAAATTACCAGCAGTTAACTTGTAAGAGATGCACTAAAACCACGTCACCTTGCATCACTCTAGGCCACATAACACATTTGTTTTTAGAACTACCACACCAAAATGGAATGATGGCAAATGGCATTGGAATAAGCACTGCCACCTACCAAGCTACCTACCAAGTCTCAAAAGTGCAGAAATATAAATGTAGAAATAATTGTAATGAAGGTATTCTGGCTAGCTCAAAACCAAGTCAAATTGCCAATAAAGTGCTATAATGACTAGTACAAAGACATCACAAAAACTAACCCAATATTACCTTACCTATCCTTCTCTGAAGTCTGAACTCTGAAGTGACACAGTATTCAGTAAAATGTGCTGATTGAGAGAAAAATTGCACATCAAATTTCAAAATCTGCATTTATACTTGATGGATAATTTTCCTTACTTAGTGAAATTAAATTCTTTTGTATGCATCCTTATATCCATTGAAAAGCTTTCCCTTGCATAAGAAACATCAGATTTCTGATGTTTTTACATGGAATTTTATTGTGTTCATTGACTCATGCATGTCATGTTTTTCAGCCAACTTATTCTCTACAGAATAAAATGGCTTCAGGACAAGGAGGTAGTTGGAGGCTGTATCAAATCCCCAACCACATCATGGAGGATATTTATAGGAAACTGGACAGCACAGAAAAATGGAAAGAGCTGGGTAAGTAGCATGAAATGCCTTCTTACAATCAATGGTGAAGCTGATAGGTAGCCACTATAAATCATCTCAGCACTGTACTTGCATTGAAGAGTGTTATGCAACTTTTATTTTTGTGTGCTGCTGTACAGTGTGCAGTTTTTCATACACTTTTCTGAACAAGAGCTGTTCATTTTACTTTGCATTCTAAAAATGGTAGGCAAGGTTTCATTGATTTCAGGCGCTGTGAAGGGCATTTGCTTGAAATGCCCCACATGCACCCTCTATTTGTCAGTCTTTAGTATCACCCTAGGCTTGAAGACTTTCACCTTTTTACCCATGCTTACAAGACAATGCAAGTTGGAGGAAGGTCCTGGACCTTTCAAACATGCCAATATTCAATCAATATTCTGTAATGACGTGCACACGGTCACACATCCCCTAGATAGACACACCTAACAACTCCTAACACCATCTATACATTGAGGTGAAGGCAGATGGGCTGTCGGCCGTCGCCGTCTTCTGACCGCAGTCGGCGGTTCTGTACACAGCTGGACAGTACCTGCAGCGCTCTCAGGACGACATTCGGTACCTGGAGTACCGCGAGCGACACGGCGTCTCTCCGGCCCGAGAGGTGCTTCAGGAATGGACGCTCGAGGACCCCACTGTCGACGAGCTGTTCGTCATACTCTCCAAGATGCGCTTCTACCAGGCCATGAAGCTGATTCAGGACTATGGTGGGTCAGGGGAGAACTAGGGATTGAGAAGTGATGAGCAGGCGCCGTGTTGGTCGTGATCTGAAGAGTGTCTGTCACTTATTTATGCCTGATTGCATGGAAACGGTTCGTAAACACAGGTATTTCTAGTACAGATAAAATCGTATCGTAGCCATATTTTGTATCAAATGATTCAATAACTGCTGTCCTGTGCAGTTGTACACGGGTTTGTACCATTGTCCGACTCACCGTAAATCGTCCCTTTCTCAGACCCACCGACGGTCTGTCATACTCATGACCTCTTATCGCAGAATAGTCAAAACGCGTGTCGTTTTTCCGCTGTCACTATGCTAGTCACGCCTGTATACCACCGCCATCCGTCCGTCCCTCTGACCTAACTCTGCCCTGTCACAGCGAGCCCGCGGCTGCACGTGCTACTGCAGGGCGAGGGCAGTCGGGGGAGCATCCTGGCGCACATGATGAAACAGAAGAAACAGAAGGCCGAGGGCGGCTCGGGCGCCTGGCCGGCGGCGGGGGCCGTCGGTCCCGGGGCGGGGGCGGAGGCGGCGCTGTACCCCCAGCCGGGCTTTGGAGTCCTGCCGCCCGCCGCCTCCTCCGCATCCGCCGCCTCTGCTGCCCAGCCAGCCGGGGCCACGGTGAGTGATGTCTACAATTTATGCAGTCGGTAATCCAATATACAAAGTTTGGTCGTTTGCACGGTTACGCCTTTATTCACCAGACATCCGTCATAGAGCATCAAAAAGATCCGCGGAATACGTCATTGCATTTCAAATGCTAAAGTTGGCCTGGTCCCAATCATCAGTCATAACAAATGTCCCCAGTTGCTTCATTGCTGCTTCATTGCTGGCTTATTCCATGAGATTGAGTATGTATAATCTTCAAATGCTTTTTGCACGCTGCTACCGACTTCATCCTCTGTGTTGACGTCCTTTATAACTATGTTGACAGGGCGGTGCGGGGATGTCATCCAACATGAACCTAAACCACAACTTCACCAAGGAGATGATGACCACCAAGCTGCGCGCTGACGAGGTAGCCATGCTGCTCGACTCCAAACTTGGCGTCGATAGCAAGGTGAACATGAGGTATGTGCTCCAGTCTTTCCCTCATTGGTTTCATTAATCTTGACTGTTCACGGTCAAATAATTAGCCGGTTTCTGGCTTCTGTTGTGTTGTGCCTCTTTGAAGACATTTTGTGGTGTATGTCATATGAAATGGGGATGAATATCCATCGCTTAACGTTTTGAGTATTTTCGATGTTTGTAATCAATTGAATCGAGAGGCAATATACATAGACTCCCGTGAGGTCCTGCCAGGACCTCGTTAACGTCTTAAGTTCACGATGATCTCTATCTCCTCTCCCTCTCTTTTTGCAGCATGTCAACCAACACGATGAACAACATCTCACACCCGGGGATGCCGCTGCCGGCGCTCCCTCCCGACCCGAACAGACACCGAGAAATCAGCTCCACACCTACACCCGCGCCTGCGACCTCTCCGGCGCCGGGTGCTACCGCTGCACCCGCCTCCAGCGTCGCCGCTGCCGTCACGACACCGACACCCACACCGGCATCTGCAGCGGCACCGTCAGTGACACCGTCATCAGCAGTGCCTGCAGCGGCAGCTTCAGCGGTGGCAGTGCCGGCGGCTTCAGCTGCTCCTCCGGAGAAAATCAGCAACAGCACAGGCAATACGACGCAGGACGAGACAGAGGTCAAACGAAAATACTCGCAAGGTGAGCGTCTGATTTGTGCTTAATTTATTGATATTAAAAGGTGTTCTTATACAGAAGTAGTGAGTAAGAGTGTCGCTCAAACGTTGGTGTGTCACAATTTCAGCCATTTTATACGAGCCATAGTTTTGAATCCAATTCTTCATGATGTGTTTCGAGACACAATCATTGACGTGAGCTTCTGAGTTGGGCTTAACAAACAATCCTTACCTAGATCGGACAAAAGTTACCGCCATCCGGACTCCCCCTGACAGAGCGTTACCCCTCCCCTCCCCCCACTGACCGCTCTCCCCATGCCGCCCTCACTTGTCCCTCAGACGTCTACAGCAGCTACCGGGACCGTCTGGGAAACATCCCCGAGATCCCTTACAAGGAGTTGGAGGCCGGCACGGAGGGCTGGAGCCAGCACCGCGTACTGGGCTCGGGCGGCTTCGGCACGGTGTACCGCGGCACCTGGAAAAACACCACTTGGGCCATCAAACGCATCACACAGGTGGGTAGATGAGACCGGAGGTGATACTTGCAGGGGAGTGGGGCGGGAGAGAATATGAGGGGGGGGGGGAGGAGGGCGACGGACCGACGGCGACTGTTATTGGGAGTCTGATTAGGAGGGGAAGATGTCTAGGACCGGGTGATGGAGGTGACTGGACTACTGGGGTTGTTTGGACTGGGTCTGCCAGCTTGGGGGATCGTTTTACCGACGAGTGACGGCGTAGAATGACGTCACTAACACCTGCAAGACGAACGAGACAAACTAGTTGCGACGCTTACCGCATATATGGGTTTTGTTGACGAATTGACTCGCAAATTTCCGTATTGGTACGCCCCCCAGCAGTATCCCTGACAGGTCAATTGATTGCAGGCTGCCACGGGTCGGACTGAGGCCGAGCAGAAGGAGCAGATCAGACAAACCCTGGAGGAGCTGCGCATCCTCAACTCGTGTCGACACGATAATATTCTGCCGCTGTGTGGCTACAGCATCTCGGGACCCGAGCCGCTGCTGCTCTACCAGTTCATGGATAACGGCAGTCTGCTCGACCGCATCATGTGCAGGGTAGGTACCGGGACGGCAGGGCAGGGGATGAGGTTTGATGTAGATATATTGATGGGTCGGGAAAGGAGGCGTATAGTGGCGATATATTTGTGACTTAACCTGGCGGGACCAAATGTGATGTTGGATAATAGCGATCGTGCTGTCAGATGTTTAGCTGACGCTCAATTAAATTTAGTGCTTGCTATTTGTTCAATTTTGTCCGATGCTTGCCACGGCGGTGTCCGGCTGGCGGCTACAAGTCCCGCTCTTTCCCCTGAATCTGTGCTATGTCTGGCCTTGCTCAATGCTCACTGCTCAGTGACTCGCTCAGCCCACCCCGCCCCCGCTCGTCCCGTGACAAATTATTCCAGTGTTGTTCCCGCTCGTATCCCGTCTCCAAGTCGCTTCGTCCCGCCCTCACCCTCGCCCTTGTTCTAGTCTCCTCGGCTCGCCTTCGTCATTCTCCCCCGACACGACTCACCCCCTCCTCCCTCTTACCCTGTCTTACGATTGTTTTGCGCACAGCGCGGCTCGACTCCGCTCACGTGGCTGCAGCGTCATAACGTGGCACGCGGCACGGCACGGGGTCTCCAGTTCCTGCACACACGTGGCACCACGCCGCTCATACACGGCGATATCAAGAGGTAACGAACAGACGGGCCTTGCGCTGGGAGTGGCCGCTGGGTAGGAGATATACGCTATGTGCGGGGTATGTGGATAACTTGGTGGTGAGGCGCGATCGGTTACTTTTTTCTGGGCTGTTCCTTTTATCAATTCGCTCATATTTATTTGACTTGTGTTGCCTTGGCCGATGTCTACAGAAGCGTGTATTGTCCTTTGCCAATGAATCTCTTTGATGTTTCATTTTCACCATGGTTCATGATTGAAACTCAGTTGGCTATCTCCAATGACAGGACAACTTCGGCTCGCCGTTTATATCTGTCCTCATTCCTCTGTCCTGGACAGACGTCATTTCTCTCTGTTAGGCCCCTCCTAACAGATACCCTCTGCGATCCATAGCGCCAACATTCTTCTGGACCACCACCTTGAGGCCAAGATAGGCGACTTCGGTCTGGCTCGCGAGTTTCCTCAGGAGAAGCACACGAGTCTCACAGTGACCCGGGTTCACGGCACGCGGCCCTACCTACCCGACGAGTACCTCCGGTCGCGCAAACTCTCCGAGAAGGTGGACACATTCAGTTTCGGCGTGGTGAGTGAGGTGACGGTGGGGAGCAGAGAGCGGGAAGGAGTAAGGGACAGGGTGTGGGAGTTACGCTGTTACTTCTGTTACAGTCCCATCGTGAAAGTACGTTACAAGGGTACTTACTTCCCGGCGTTTTTAAGCTCGTATTTCCCATTCACGTTTTTATATAAGTGTGATATATTTATAATCATATGTTTTTACAGGTTCTTTTCGAGCTTACCACCGGACTTCCTGCCTATGACGACAAGCGGCCCATAAAAATGTTGGTGAGTTGTATGCAACGCTTTGTTTTTAAATGAGTGACAAGAATGCTTAATACTTTAAATGAAGGTAAATGTCTGGTACCTCAATTGTATTTATTTTCCTTTTGAGCATCTGACCTTCTGTGTCACATTTTGAACCCAAAAGCTCACCATTATTTAATATGTACTTACCGAAATTTAGTTCTATCACATCGTTTCCCATCGGGACCAAAGGTTAAATATGGAGACTCGTACCGACGTCTGCCTCCAGCAGTATGGTACCCACAGCCTTATCCGACCCGGACCTGTCGTGTTTTTCAGAAAGCTCTGGTGGAGGAAGCCCCGGACAAGAACGCTCTGATGGATCGGAAGGGAGGCGTCGAGGACCAGGACATCTTCCCCGCCCTGCTGCGGGTGGGAGAGGTGAGTGACAAGATGACCTTCCTTGTCAGTCCAAGAGCTGTGCCGTAACTTGCTCTACCTCGCGGACTTATAAGTGTTTGTGGGACATTTTATGCGAATGATTTGAGCTTGTTTGAATGTAAGACAATGTGTAGAATAGGCGATTTTTTATTCGAGCATCTAATTATCACGATATTGAAATGGAACATATAAATTGGCAAATAGGCTCGTCGACGTCTCTGGCTGTCATATGTGATCTTATGACTTCTACACCTGATTTTACCCCCGTCTGTGACCCGTGACCTGCCTGACCCCGTACGTAACCTCTCCCCTGTGACCGTCAGCTGTGCGTCAGCCGCCGTGCCAAGGATCGCCCGGAGATGGTCCAGGTTCTCACCGAGCTGGATAACATCACACAGGCCAGGACGCTGGCGGCTCGCGCACAGAGTAAGATCACGGCGGGGTTGTGGAGCGGGGCTCTCAGAGTCGGTGGGGGCTGCATGGCTAGCGGGGATTTGGTGTGGAAGAGAAAGACATGGAACTGACCTTGGCACCGGGAATTGTTGGTTTGCTGGCTGTAGTTGACAGTGCATGATTGTTTTCCATTTTTGCTAGTGCTTTCACTATCATGTCCGGGTAGGTGTGACTGGCAAGGAGCTGTTAGCTTATCTGAGGATGATATTGTGCCCGCAGGAATATCCATCGAGGAGGCCCCTTCGGTGGAGATGTCTCCGCTAGAGCTGCAGGTTTTGATGGACAAGCGGCACGGCCAGCTGGGCCAGTACGACAACCGGCAGCAGCTCTCCCCGCGGCCACACTATCAGGTAACGGAGGCTAGCGTGGTAGTCTTTACCGTACTAAGCATTCTGGGCAGTTTGAGCTGCTGTTGGTGAGCCAGCTTTACGTGTGATATTATTGTGTTGTCTGAAGCAATAACGTAAGTGATTTCATTAAGTGTAGCACAGTAAAGACGGCATGAACAATCAACTTGTGCAGTTGCTGTGCCTCTTAGCTGATTTTCTTTTTCCGGTGGCGTGCTTACAGCACGGTGCGCTGTTTGAACCGGTACGTGTTGAGGCTCACAATACGGTGCGTTGACCGTCCCTGTGCCTCCGGCAGCCGCAGCGGACGGGCAGCTCCCAATACACGGCCGGGCCGGGCCTGAGCGCGTTCAGTGCCACCACGGCGCCGCCGCCATACAGTGAGGTGGTGGCCGGAGGCGCCGGCACGCGCTACCCGGCCCACCTGTCACCTCAGCCGGCCGGCGGCTGGCCGGTGCCTCACTCGCCGCAGCCGGCGGCGCACCGGCAGGCCGCTCACTCGCCGCAGTACCACCAACAGCCGCTGCCGGCGGCCTACTCGCCGCAGCCGGCCGGCCACTCGCCGCACTACCCGCGCCACTCGCCGCAGATGGTGGCGCACTCGCCGCAGACGCCGCAGTTCCAGATGGCGTACTCGCCGCAGCCGGCGCCGCCGTGGCCGGTGCCGGCGGCGTTGCCCGTCGGAGCGGCACTCCCCACCGTCCTCCCGCACATGGACTCGCAGTATCAGGACTCGGCGGCGGCGGCTCCGGTGTCCGCGGCGCTCGGACCGGCGCCTCTGCTGACCGCGCTCGGCGTGAAGTCCTCCTCCAGTGCGGCGGCGCAGGAGAGTGATGTGTCGCAGACGCTCTCCACGGCTGGCTCGTACTCGGAGGTCTCCGAGACTCAGTGACAGTATGACTGTGACATTGTGACAGCGATAGTGAACGGGTGACAGTGGCAGTGGCAGTCGATCTGACAGAGATCGGATCACAGAGACATTGGCTGCAACTCGACGCTACATCACAAGAAGAGTTCGTTGGCTCGGCGAGTGTCCGCTGAATCTGAAGCCGGGGCTGAGCTAACTGAACCACTTAGTGGCAATCGTTCGATGACCTGACTGTGACCGGGCTATGAATATCCCGTGATCGGCGCGCTGTTGTTCGAGTAAAGCCGTATCATATCACACAGATGTCATCTTCATAAGAATCAGACACTGCGGGCGGCTGAGCAACCGATCAAGCGAGAGAACTCCCGGTTGACGATAGTTTGTTAACATCACGAACGATACCGGCAGCCCAGCCGTCTCATTGTGTCTTCCCTAGAACGCTCGGCCGAAAAACTGCCATATGGGCCACATGTTTAGTGTTGTGCAGCGATGTTGGACGGCTAAGTGGCCCGTGGTACTGGCATTTATGTCCCGGTGAGCGTGTCGTTACGTCTAGTGTGGCCGTGTACTCCGAAGTGTGACTGGGCTAAAACCGGTGTCGAATCATTGGGCGTCGAATCATTAGGCGCTAATGTTAGCGGGTCAAAGGCGTCGCGATTTATTGCGCTATTCTTCCAGCGGATGAGCTTCACACTACGAGTGGGGAAAAAATATCTAAGGGTCTTTCAGCGAATACTGCTGCCGCAGTTAAAAGCCGGGGGCAATGGTTAGTCGGCTATGCTAGGGCATAGTTATTGTGCGTAGTTTTAGGCAGGGGCTTAGCCGGGGATCGTAAAAGACAATATCGGTGGTTGTTAGGCTGCTGTTGAGTACGATGGGGATTGTGTTATTTACGCTGAGATGGGGCGCTGATTCATGAGCCTTTTGGCTCATATTGTGAGAAGAACCCGTTATTTTATGGGGTATTGGGACATACGCTAAACGTTTACACTAGCCTGCTACTGTACGTGCATGGATTGCTACTCATGATTTAGTATACGACATTGTATTTGCTATTGTGCATATTTTGCTATCCGTTTCATGCTCAGTGTCTGAACCGTCTTTGGCCGAGGTAGCTTCTTGGTCCAGATGTATCTGTGTTTATTGTAAACTGCTAGGTAGCTGGCCATTTTAGTTCACACGCTCTAACAGGACGCTTGCCGTACCACTCTCGCGAAGCCTTCTGCATCCTCGCCATTCCTCTTTTAACTCTGAGACTGACTCAGATTTGTCTGTAAGCTCTCCTATTCCAAATGGTGTGATATGATGTGATGACCGAAGCGCAAAGGCTTACGCTTAAATAAACAGTATATTTTCTGAAGCAACCAACATGATTAGCGCGACCAGATCATGAATATAACACGCGATTCGCGAGGCGGCGTGCTTCCACCGCTCGCGCAGTACCCAGACGCAGCGCCGGCGGTTATATCACAGCAGAGAGCCCCGTCAGCCGCCTCCCCCCTGCCCCACCCCAGCTGTCCCGTGGGCTACTCGAGCGCCGAGTCGCCCTCTCGCACCTCCTTTAGGCTGAGCAGCTCCATGTGGCCCTTGCCCTTGGTCTCTGCGCGGAGCAGCTCGTCCACGGCTCGGTAATGGCCCGGGTCCAGGAGGCACACCTGGAACGGAGGGAGCCGTCAGTGCGCGGAACAGATGGGCAGAGGGAGCGGTCACACTGGAGAGACTTGTGAGTTGACCCGACACCTGACATCCCACATCGAGCTGGATTCGTCTCTTCAACTATATCGTTGGAACGTGATCTGATGATAATGCCGAACTTCCTCTTTAGGTTGGGTTAGGTTAGGTTAGGTTATGTTAGGTGAGGGACTCAACTTGTGAACCACTGTGCTATCGTCATGAGTCCCCTTTTCCCGTCATGGACCTATTTTCACCATGAAGAACCGCCCCCTCATCACTGAACTGTGCTCTGACCATTGTGAACCCCATATTCTCGCCATCACGACTCCCTATCTCCGCGTGTCGCGCGGCTCTCACCATTGTGAACTGGCCGTCGGCACAGTCATCCTCCTCCACCGATGAGCTCATCTCCCTGATGCGCTTGCGGGCGTGTTTGCCCTCCTTGGCCGGCAGCTGCACGCGCAGCCGCATCTGGGCCCGCTCGATGGGCATCACGCCACTACTCTGTAGCTGCTTGATAACGTCCAGCGCCTGCGGACGTGGCAGGTGAAACATCACAGTCATGACTCACGTCAACGGAGCGGCAGGTCAAGGACAGGTCAACGGAGCGGCAGGTCAAGGACAGGTCAACAAGCGACAGACCAATGGCGCAGCTGGTCAGCGGAGTGGTAGGTCAAAGACAGGTTAACCCGCGACCTGGTGGGGGGGGGGGGGCTATTTTTTGCCCTCCCCCCCCTCCAGACTTTTCGATATATCTCCAGAACCGCTGCGCCGATCGTAACCAAACTTTCAGTACCCTCCCGGACATCAATTTTACACATGGTGACCAAAAATTTTCCAAAGGCTATGATAGGTTGGCCGGAAATGACGTCAGAGTGACGTCATGTTCTGCCGTTTTCGACCCAAAAAAGGGTTTCGCGGGAAGAGCTGTCAGGTCTATAGCTTTGCAAATACAGAAAAATGATAAGGACATAAAAGCTGTAGAATTGGCAGGTCTACAAAACTGCTACCTCGGATTTTTGAAATTTTTGGATTTTGACCCTCAAAATCAAAAGAATAATTTTTTTTGGATATAATGATCGAAAAATCCAAAAAGTTTTTTGAATTTCGCAAAAACCGGAATATATGTTACAGTCCTTACCGCCTTCCATCCACATACCAAATTTGAGATTGATACCTCTTTTTTTTGGCGAAGTTATAGCGAAAAACTGTTCAAAATTGATGTCAAATTTTCAAACTCAATTTTTAGCAATTCTAGAACCCGTAGCGCAAAACAAAGACCGCCATTAGACTCCCCGTGACGAGCTGCATCGAATCAATACCCATTTTATGCAAAACTATCAACTTTAAAATTTGACCTTTTTTGGCCTGACCTTGACCCGACCTTGACCTGAACTTCACCAGAAAGTGACCTAAGCCGTACCTGATAGTCTTATAACCAACACCATTGAGTTGGAAATGAAAAATTGGCCATAAAACATGCATCACACAACCTTAGTAAAGTTGGGCTCATGTGACCTGACCTGTGACCCTTGGTGACCTGACCTGTGACGTGACCTGGTATTGTCAGTGACCTCTAATAGCAACATATCTACTAGGCAACTGACGCCCTATCGCTGATTCTCGACAAAATGCGTTTTCCTCGGTGTTATAGCGCATTCCCTAGAAGACCCGTGAACGGTGAAACATTTCATCTTTGACCTGACCTTAACGTCATCGGTGACCCCAAGGTCAATGAATTTTGGTTTCCTTCGACAAATTTGACAGGCCTTTCGAACGCCGTTTGAATTTTGCGGATCCGTCCAGTAGTTTCGGAGATACGGGGGGGGGGGCAAAAATAGCCCCCCCCCCCACCAGGTCGCGTTATAAACAGACCCCACCAGGGCGCGGGTTAACGGAGCGGCGAGGTCAAGGACAGGTCGACACAGATCAACGGCAGGCAACGGCACACCCGTGTCACGATGGAGAGGTCAGGGCGTGAGACACTTCAGACAATGAGTTACAAACCATATTCGGTGACGAGCACGCTCTATCGTACACATCAACAGTAACTTGCAGAGGTCCAGCGCATTTGGCTTCATGTTAACGGCAATACATTAGCATTATAATAACTGGTAATGTCAGAAATCAGAATGTCACATGTGGCCGAGATTCAGAGGTGCTAAGCATCGGGGTTCAGGAAACGACTGGCGTCCCAGAGCATTCGAAACCACAATATTGGTAAACATGTCCCCATCCCATTACAAACATACCTGCTGTTTGGAGTTTCTGTTGGGTTTCACTGAGAAGTGCATGTCTTTCATGCCCTTCTCTATCATTGTGACTGGGTATGGACGCTTGGTTTCAGGATTCACGCACTTATCTGGAAAAATGCAATGCGTATCGTCACGAGAACGTTTCCTATATTTCAATCGGCGATATTTGTGAACAAGACCTGTGTGAATAATCGCCTACCACAGATGAAAAACATATTTTGATATAAAAAGTTCAATATCACACAAGAGAGAGCATAAACGTCCTACTCCTATGAACTCCCGAAGCTCCTTTTACCTCTTTCTATCAGCTTCTATTTATACTCTTTCTGATCAAATCCTTTCTAAACTGTGCGCTTCCAGCACGTCAGTCAAGTGGAGAGGGCGCAGCTAGTCTCCAGCAAGAACTCCCTCAGTGTATATTCCCGGTCCGAGTGAGTCGGAGCCTGCTTCTCACCCCGAGTGAGGCGGGGTCTGCTTCTCACCCCGAGTGAGTCGGAGCCTGCTTCTCACCGGAGACGATGGTGGCGATGTCTTTGAAGGTCGACTCGAGCTGGGCGTGCCGCTCCTTCTCGGAGACCTGCAGCTCACCCTTCTCCAGAATCTCCAGACACACCTTGGTCGAGTCGTCGGTCCCGAACGCCTTCTGCAGCTCCTCCTTCTTAGCCACTTGACCTTTTGACACATTCAGGAACACAGTGTGGCTCTGAAGAACCTCGTCGATATCTTTCTCGCTGAAAGTAGTTCGTTTCCCATGTTCAGACAATTTTTGTAACGTGGTAGCAACAATTACATGAGCCAAAGGAGATGCCTTTGACTATCCTTAGTTTAACCCTCGCACGACCAGGCCATTTCTCATAACACGAACGACCAGGGGGGGGGGGTTGTTACGACCCCCCCCCCCTGGCGTTTCGAAACGGAAGGTCGTAGAGCTTAGCGGAAAAAACCAACGGATTGCTCTCAACGAGATCTCGCGATTGGTGGTATATTTTTTGGTCCTAGGTCAACATTTGACCTACTTATGACCGGTCAAAGGTCAAATTTTCCGAAAAAATCAAACTTTTTCAACTTTCCGCGGCGATTGCGGCAAAACGGTGGGAGATATCGACTTGAAACCTTCACTATCGTGTTCCTTGATCAATTCTCTATCGTTTGGTATGTATTTCGTTTCCCTAGCTCTAAAAATGGCGCGTTGGGAGCGCCGGAAGTCGGCAAGGTCACAGTCGGCGGCAGAAATTCGAAAAATCAAAATTTAAATTTTTGAAATCTGATTGTATTTTTGGATTTGGGAGGTCCATTTGCTCCCTATAGAAGCTAATATTGCTGCATATTCCCATTGAGGTGACAAGAATTAGCAAAATAGTGGTTCGGGCGCTTTTCAAAAATAGTACCGGACGCTGTTCCTCTTGTGACGTCATAGCTCCGTGACCTGACCTGACCCGGTCAATTTTCTTGCACCACACGATAGCCAATGCTTGCCCCAACATGCATGGGAAGTTTCATCATGATCCATCAAACAATGTGGGTATCACCGGCAGAAAACCTAGGGATTCGGCGCACACGTTTGGTAACTGTCGGCCGGAGGCTGTACCTCTTATGACGTCATAACTCCGTGACCTGACATGACCCGATCAATTTTTTTTCGGCAAAAGATGCGCAAAGGTTGCCCCAGAGGGTATTGAAAATTTCAGCCCGCTACGACAAGCCGTTTAGCGTGCACTTCGAAAAAACCTCAGGGGGGGGGGGTTGATACAACCCCCCCCCCCCCTAGGCGTTCTAGGGTTAAGAAAGAGGTGGCCCTTTAGGGTCAGGGCCAGGGTGGATAGTTGGATAGCAATGCTATCCAACTGAATGAAACCTTACATATCTAAAAGGAATAGGGCTGCAAGGACCCAGGGCATTGGTCAACATGCACTTTGCAGATTTAACTGACTTCAGGATGGGGATAGCTAACTTGCACGCAGGATAAAGTAAAAAATCATAGGTTCAAAGAATGGTAGACATCCAAAATAACTGGCAAGGTGAAGGTGGATAGTCATCCAAGCTACTTACACTTTACTTCGCCAGGAGAGCACCTTGTTCTTGTAGCAGGCAATTTCAAATCGCTTCCCAGTCTTCTTCATCCTGACTATCGCGACATTTGTAAGTCGCATTTGATTGGTTGGCGTAAATATCTTAGACATGATGCCTTGAGTTACAGACGTTGATTAACCTGGAAAAGGATTTGGGTAATTAAAACAAGAGTAGCATGAATTATAACAATGGTGGACATTTCCAAATATCAATACTGTAGGATATTATACGTGGCTCGCTGTGGGGATGATTACCTGCGGGGTGACGGGTGTGTATTTGACTGTGCTCGGCTCGTTCTGCACACGTAGGTAATTGTTTCAGTGTGCCTTCAGTGTGTCTGCATGTGCATTGTGAATGTCCAACGAAGTACACCTGATCCCGGCGGTTCGGTTCGGCCGGGCTAAGCGTGCTCATGCTGACTCTTCACCTTTCCTTACAGGAACGACTTCCCATGTGAATGCACGTGTCATCTCATTGCAGCGTGTTGTGTGACCGACCCAACATGGCGCGGTCGGTTTGCTAGAACAAGATCTGCCCGGTGCCCCATATAGGTACCTCAACCGGCCATGAACACACAGAACCCAGAAGCATCACCGCAGGAGCAGCACAGCAGCCAGTTCAGCTCATCAAGCTGACTCAAGAACAGCTGCAGATGCTCCCTTAACATCCGGATCCTGGTTCCAGGCCTGTGGAACTCAGAGATCCAGCTGTCTTTCTATTCAACGTGACAAGTGACACAACTGAATCTGATGAAGACCAGGCGACTGTTCTCATTTCAGCAGCAGCGACACAATAGCCCACAATGGCTACTCAGAAGTCCCAGAACCAGCGAGAATGCGGTAGGTACAGCCGCGCCCCTCACCCCTGAAGCACTCAGAAAGGAACCTGCAGCTCTCCCTGCCGCTGGTGCGGGGAAACCAATCTTGAGAAGTCTAATGAGAAGACGGGAAAGTTCAGGAGCCTCTCAAGTAAAGCGAAGATGGTCGGCGGAGTGACCAGACAGGCCCGTGTCGATACGGGTGCGATGACGGGTATCAGAGGACCGAAGCTCCTCGCTGCACTGAACTTCCCCCGGCAGTACCTGGTAAAAACTCGCCACAGGATACAAGGGGTCACGGGCGATAGCCTCCAGGAGCCCCGAGGGCTGTTTACGGGCCCTGAGTGCGGTCGGACCGCACACAGCCTCCAAGCTCGGCCCACTGCGTCCCTACGTCAGCCTTCCGTCAACGCACACAGCGACCGCTGTGGCCGGTCGGGACTGGCCACAGCGGACCGTCCACCGCACGCAGCCGTGACGCCAGACCCGCCTACCCATCCCCTACCCCCACGCCTGCTGCACACACCGCACACACCGCACGCAGCAGTGTGCGGTGCCCGTGAACACCCCTCAGATCATCGGCACACTCCTACAAATTTGTCTTGGTGAATGCATATTGCATCAAGACAAATGGTGTATATTACAAGAACACCAGCGGGCTCTACCTTTCTAAGAGTGCACAATTGGACCTGGGTGTGATTTATCCTGACTTTCCCAACGTCCAGCATGGCACGCCTCCCACTATTCTTTTTATTTATCTATTTCGTCTGTCGCCATCCTTCCCACAGGCTGATGCGCACACTTACGGGAAGGCTCCTGCTTTTCCTCCATACCCCCCCCCCCCCTGTGCTACGGCTAGTGTGGGAGCCCACCACACTCCTGGGGACACAGCTGGGGACAACGCTCGCGGGACGGGCAGCACCGGGAATTGAACCCAGAACCATCTGCACTGCGTGATGACACCCTAACCAAATGCGTCCCCACTGCTTCTAACTAGGGACTTTAGCTGAGGCAGTCGCATGTTCAGAGCATGACCCTGAGACGGTTTCTTGTGAATGTCCTCTACGAACACCGAGCCTACTCGACTATTCCACTCCTCTATGAATGCCGAAGCCAAGCCAAAGCATGCTGCTGACAATGGAGAAGCACTGACACTGGTATATGTGCTGGAACAGTGCCTGATATTTGTGCTGGGCTGCAAGAGCCTCATAGAGGGTACCGAGACTACAAATGCTGATTAAGATCTTCCCAAATCTCAGACCAATTGCTCGACAACATAAAAATTTGAAAATACTGCAACTCAAAGAAAAGTTGCTGATATTCAGGTTCAACATCAAAAGTCCCAGCACACTGCCACACAGGTGCAGATGCTGCGTCAGGTAGGATACCAGCAGGCTCAAGGTTCATACAGTGTTGTTACCTGCTCAAGCATGCCCAACCTCTCCAAAGCAATGTAATCCTGTGCGACAACAACCCACTGATGATGAAGCACTAAGCAAGGACATCGAGGACGATCCACACAGCAATACAATTGCTGCAGCTGGGGTGGCATCAACTGAAAGTAAAAGCGCCATCACCCATTGTACGGGAACTCGTAAAAAAGAGGCCCTGAGCTTTGTTCGTTCGCCCCGTTATTTATCAGCAGGCTGCGAGCATGCTGCTACTTCTTGGCTCTGCATTGGTCAAATTCAAGTGGTCTATTCGTTAGACCAATGAGATGCCAAGAAGCACCAGCAATAACTTCCTTATATGGGGAAAACCGACAGCACGCTGAAAAAAACAGCGTCCAAACTGGAACAGAGCTCTGGTGGACAAGCCGTGCATCAAACTGGTGCTTTTGATCGCAGAAGGCTTCCACACAACATGTTCTGAACTTCCAGATTTTGCAGCATGTTCACTATAGGGTGGCCCTATAGCCTGAGCCAAGCCATACTTGCCAATATTCATATCCAGCAAAAATCCCGGCATAAACTGTGACTTCATTTCAATTTTGATTTGTATTCATTCAAAGCCACTTGCACTGAGTTTGATATCATTCAGGAGTCCTGGATCATGGATGCCCTGAAAATTATCGCGTAATGCAAAATAAAATTCCAGAAGCATCCTACTATTATGCAGGTTAAATCTGAAAAAAACTCTCGATGATCACTCACCTATCACCTATGTGTTATGTGTTATGTTATGCCCCACGGGGGCCGCGGGGTGTGGATAAGTGCTAGATGTTCGTAATAGGCATTTCTTACGAATAGTTCTTTGGTTGTGGAAAAAATTATCCTAGGTCGCTAGATTTTTCAGAGATTTATCCAAATTGCTATCTGCTTCTATGGTTATCTGCAAACGGCATTGCATTTTGCATTTATTTATTGAGTTATCATGAGTTTTTCGTATGTGTTACATTTGTTCAGCCCGGAATGAACTTAAAGGAAAAAGAAAAAAACGGATGATGTCGCGAAATTCCAAGACTTCTGCGAGATTACTTTCCGACGAACCACCGACGAACGCATCTAAATTCTTTTTCGCTTGCTGGCGCAGAAACGACAAAATAAACGAGGGCTTCCTGCGGGGGCCTGTTCCAGCGCCTCCAGAAACCTCCAGAAACCTCCAGAAAGCTCTAGAATCCTCCAGAGAGCGTTCCAGCGCCTCCAGAAAGCTCCAGAAAGCTCTCGCCAAAGCTCCAGAAACCTCCAGTAGCCTCCAGAGAGTTGGGAGGTCCAAATTTCTCTGGAGGCTCTGGTCTTCAGTTATGGCGCACATGTGACAATCACGAATGTAAACAAAGAACTTTTGACTGAGAATTGTACAACTTGAATGTAAAGAAAATTACATTGCTATAATTTTGTTATTCTTTTTTACTAAAATTGAAAACAAATTTTGCGTGTCAAGATAGAACAATCGTCATTCTTTTGGTATCTATGACGCCAATCTCCAGAAATCTCCAGATTGCGTTCCAGCGCCTCCAGTGAAACCTCTGGTAGAGCCTCCAGTCAAGAATTTCTTCTGGAGGCGCTGGAACAGGCCCTTAGATACCGTGCCTGCGGGGTGGGCGCTTGTGGGCGTAACCGGCGTAACTAGCCTTGGGCGTAACTCGAAGACCTTCGTAGGATTTTCTGCATTGGGCTCGTGAAAATTGTCTGTATTAGGCCCTTTTAACGATTCGTTAGGGAAGGGAGGGCGCCGACGTAAGTATGGAAAGGAAGTTAGTATGATAATACTTGTTTTTACCTCCATGTGTCACAATAGGGTGCAATGGTGTTGTAGAAGGTGGTGCAATCCCCATGTCATCGGGAAAATCCCACTCCCCTTGTAAGATTTATCCAGTGTTATTTATGGATTTGGTGTGTGCATGTGTTTGTTCAGAGATGTGTTTTATTTGTTTTATTGTGGTCTGCTGACTTTTAGGGACAGGTTAGCTAGGTTTAAGGCTATATGCTAGGTTCAGGTTGGCCTGACTGTCGTCATTGACATTGACATTTGACATTGCTTTATTTTTGCTGTGTCGCTGGTCTGTGTTTCACTGAGGCTGCCAGCGCAACTTGCGAGCTGACATCACACACAAAGCCCATTGCCCGAACACTGCCACAATTGTGACATCAGCTCGCGAGATGCGCTGGCAAGGCGCTAGCAGTGTCAGTGAAACACCACCCTGATCTTGATTTTCAGGCTTGAGCCAGGTCAGCTTAATCTTCTAACAATAACTGGATTCTTATATTAATATAATATGCCCAAAGTTAACCCTGAAGTTTACCAGCTAGGTGAAAGAAGTATCGTAAATGCTGTTCCAGAAGCTCAAGCTAATATCATTTCTTTGACATTTTCTTTTGTTGTTAATTATTTTTGAACTTAATCTGTACATACTTATGCATTTACATCTTCATGCCTTATAACTTGTTAAGTACCTTATCTTTGATTTGCATTTTGCACACTTGTTACTATTTACAAGATCATTATCTTTTGATTCTTATTTCTTATTTACATGAACATCGAAAGAGGTGATTATTGTTTAACATATGTAATCATAGAGGTAAAAGATCTATCAGTTTACCAAGCATCACACCTTGTAATATAAGAGTCTGGGAAGGTTAGGATTGTGTCATTTAAAGCTAGTTTTTACTTGTTTTTGATGAGTGGATGTGCCAACCTGGTCACACTAGGGGATACAACTGGTGTCAATAACTTGTGACCAGTCAGATGCTCATAACCAGTGAATAGTTGGTGTATTGCCCACTGACTGATTGGAGATCCGGAAGCAGTCAGTAGTAGTCAGAGCCCAGAGGTCAGGTGGCCCAGTCCCGTCAGTTTTGCGACAAGTAGCTGGATGTTAAATGAACGGTCACCTGGAACATCTCATCAGTTACCGGTCCACTACTGGTCGAATCCCATCAAAAGTGTACAGTTACATTAGCACTCCTGAGTCATAAATTTGCAACCAGCTCGTCCTAGACACCTCAGACTGCGTATATCACCCCAGTGCTTATGTCACCCCAGTGCCTGTCATCCCTGCTCTCTGGCAGACCATGGCTGACAAGCGGCCGCCGCCGCCGCTACCGCTGGAGAACAAGCTGCTGAAGACGCTGTCGGCGTCCGTGGCGGCCTCCGCGGGCCGGCGCGCCGGCAGCGATGGCTCGCGGCCGGCGGCGTCCGACCTGCGGCCGCCGCCGCTGGAGAACCGACTCCTGGCGCAGCTGAGCCTGCGCTCCTCGGCGCTCACTGGCGGCGCGTCGTCGGCGCTGCCATTGCGCAGCTCCGTACTGGCCAAGTACGAGGCCGAACACCGTCCGCCGCCGCCGCCGCCGCCGCACGGGCTCGGGGTGATGATGTGTCAGGCCGAGATGGCACGTGATTCCGTTGCCTGCGAAGAAGAGGACGATGACGACATGGGAATGGCATTGTTCGATGACTGCGAGTCTGTGTCATTTTCTTCAAGGTCGGTTGATCCGATTATGTATAAATCAAGGAGTAGGGCTAGGCCGCGCTTGGCCCGTATGGAGCCTCGCCGTTTCCCAGGAGCGGGCAACGGGGCGAGCTGGGCCCAGCCAGAGCCACAGTACGACTTCAAAGGCGTCCAGCTGGGAGAGTATGACGACCGTCCCACGTGGACCACGCCGGGACAGGCGGAGCGGCCCGACCAGGAGCTCCTGCGTACCACAAAGGTAAGTCGGTCCGGTGGCTGCGGGAGGGAGGCGAAACGGTGCGCTGGGAACCCGAAACGGCGCCCGCCTTAGGACGAGCGAGGCAGGCTCGTTGGACCTGACGGGAAGATGAAGGTGAAACAGCAGATTACAAAGCCTCTTACAGGCATCGGTAACGTTGGTATTCAATTACATTGTATTGTAGTTGTACCCGTTCGTGAATCCATTGCATGGCCATCTTTGCGTCTAATTTTACAACCATAAACGTGTACGATCTATCCAGACTATTCCGATGTTTCCTGGTCGAGCTCGATACCACAGTGTAGCTTCATTGTATTGACGTGTTTGTCGCGACGCTTGACAATTCCCGTGTCGCCTCGTGCTGCCGTTCCCGTGTCGCCACGTACTGAGGATCCCACGTGTCGCCACGTACTGACGTACCCGCTGTTGGCCGGCAGCTGGACTTTCTGACGGCCGTGTGCGTCTCGCTGGTGAGCCAGCCCGACTTTAAGCAGCGCGAGGACCCGCTGAGGCAGCGGCTGCTGCAGCAGGCTGGCCGGCTGGCCGAGCTCGAGCCCGAGTTCCTGCTCAAGGTACTGCCACCGGCCGACTAAAGGGCCTTGACTGGGGCGCCCATCAGGGAAGAGGGCGGGAATGGCAGTGGAGAGCGACGCATGCATGTGGTGTCATTGAGGTATTGTCAATTGTTGTTGGCGGGAAATCGTCAAATTATCGTTAATTATTACTTACATGCTTTTGACATTTATTAGCAATGGGATGTGAAGACTGAAGATCGGATACTAAGCCGTTGAAGCTGTTTTTTTTGTAGAATGCATAAAATAATGCTCGTAAAGTTAACGCTCTGGAAGACTGTGAGGCCACGTTTTATCATGCCAGTCGTGAAGATGCTACGCGTATGATCTGTCCAGATGGATGCCCCTTGCCACTTTATCCTAACTCGGGGTCCTAACTCAGGATAGGGTTAGCAGGGATCTCAGGCTTCCCGAGACCCTTCAGTGGTAATGCGCGAGCCGTGTGCGTGCCATGATTTGGTGTCCTGATGACACCTGTCCGTGTCGCCGGCAGGTTGCGCTGTACGCCCGCCAAGAACTGATGCTGCGCACAACAGCCAACTTCCTGCTGTCCCTGGCGGCCTTTGTCGAGCCGTGCCGCCCCTACCTGCGCAAATACTTCTGTGCCACCATCCGACTACCCACTGACTGGATCGAGGTGGCCGAGATATACCAGGTAAGACGCGGTAGCTGCCCTCCTTGGTAGGTAACTGCGGGGTAGTGCCGAGATATACAAGGTAGGACGACGGTGGCTATATGCAATGTATGCCGTGTAGGTGCGTTTGATGAGAAGCCTGATCGGAAATATCGGCTAGGTCCGCGGATGCTTACATGAGACACAGATACACAGTTACATGACACACTGTTAAACACAGTTGCTGGTTCAAGTTAATTGTCATGTCTTTCGTGGGTTTCCAGATCTGATAGATTGGTTACGCTGTGGGCATGCAATGGATGTTGCTGTCGATATGCCCTTCCCCTCCCCCGCGACTATTGCATTGTCCGAGCTAAGGTAGCTACAACGTAAATTACGCTGTTATCACATTCCTAACCTAACCACGCACCGGACTTTTTAACATCTACATACCACCTTCGTTCAACAGACATTCGACGACTCCAAGATTAACTTTGGCTCGCTGCCGAACGCTCTCCGCAAGGTCATGACGGACAAGTTTGGCGAATTTGACAACTACCAGCTGGCCAAGTACAACAAGGGAGGTGGCAAGAAGAAGCGCAAAAAGAAGGTGAGCCTGAGTGGCTGCTGCATGTGTGCGTTTGTGTGTGGACAGTTTAAACTTGTGTTCGTAAAAAGGGCAGCTGCTGGTTTATAGCATTTAAGCTGGCTTATATTCTATAGAGCCTATAGGCCTTTCTTCCTCATTTTCCTACTGTGTGTGCCTGGTACGACTCTTACTGTTAACATGCCCATTAGATCTGAAACCAGATAAGTGGTACCTATGCATTTTGTGTATACACAGACCCATGCGCTGATTCTTAGCTAGCCATTGTTAATTAGTAACCAGCAAGCGCGCCGGTGGAGAGTGCTTGAATACCGTTTTTGTGAAAAGTGTAGAGAGGGCACCACGATGCGCTGCTGGTTTCCGTCGTTTTTTTTTTAGCAGATGTATTTTTACGTAGCTTTTGCTCATTTGTAGCCTCGGTTATCGTGAGGCTTGTGATCAGACAAAGTCAAGAGAATTCGCCAACGAAGAAGTGAAATGTAAGACAGATTAGGATAACTGCGGTGCTGCTGTGCGGAATGCCATCCCATGCCGATTGTCTGCGGTGCCCCGAGTATGATGCCAAGGTTAGGGGTGAGACGCCGCTGCCACATACCGCAGCCCGGCCGGTGCAGTCGGGCCGATAGCCTATCAGCCGGGCGTCGCCGGTCCTTGAATAGCAACACCGATTGTCTGGCCCGCTCTACGGTAGTATGGGGGAACAGCAGCGGGGGGGGGGGGGGTTCGGGGGAGGAGGAAGGATTTATAAGTGGGCTGGATGGGGTCAGTGTTCAAGTTACCGAAACGATAGTGCTCTCACGTTTCTTGACAGTCACTTTACACCTTGTTAATTTGCTCACCTCTACATGTGAATATAATTTATATGCACTTATTGTCGTAGTTGGATAGGTTAAGGTATTAGAGTCTGCAGCCGTTAGGATGATATAATTGATGAAAGCTGCTTGATGACGCTACTTCGGAATCATACAGCTTTTCACGCTTCCCATTGCTCAATGATAAACCAGTAAAACGCCTTTTGGGCGAAGAACGAGCGAGCAAGATAGTGAGCCCTGCACGTGCGGAAGGGCGAGAGGGTACTTCCAACGGGCTTGCGCAAAGCACCCTTCTAACCGGTCGCTGGCGGTGTACCAAATTTGAACGCAATCGGCCCAGCCGTTCCTGAGATCTGGAAGCGGCACTCTGCACGTGCGCACGTGCAAACAGGGTCCAAACAGACTTTTGCACGGCACCCTATAACTGGTCCCCAACCGTGTACCAAATTTGAGCGCAATCGGCCCAGCCGTTCTCGAGATCTGGAAGCGCCCCCTGCACGTGCGCACGTGCAGTAGCACCTTAACCGCAGCACATGGGAATGCATTGCCTGGTGGGTGCCTACCTGTATGCCAAGTTTCAGCGAAATCGCCCCAGTATTTACCGAATTATTAAAATGGGAACAAATTTGACACCTCATTGTTGTATTTTGCACGTGCACTGGGGGTGACCCACATGCATCGAGAGTATCCTATTTTTGGTAGAAGGGATGCAGCTACGCTATAAAAATTACCGCAAGACAATCGCCCAAGTGGCTGCTGAGATACGGGCCTCTCAAAATCACTACTTTTGCAAAACAGCTTGAACACCCTTGACTTTTCACGTGGCACGTGCCACGACGGTCACTGAGATGTATCAATAGTAGTCAATTACGGGGTAGAAGGGATGGCGCTACCCAGCAAAAAAGACCGCAGGCCAATCGGTCCAGCGGTTGCTGAGATATAAGCCTCTCAAAAGCGTTACAGGCCGGGCCGGGCCGGGCCGCTCATACTGAGATTTTTCCGTTATACAGCAAAAAAGACCGCAGGCCAATCGGTCCAGCGGTTGCTGAGATATAAGCCTCTCAAAAGCGTTACAGGCCGGGCCGGGCCGGGCCGCTCATACTGAGATTTTTCCGTTATATTGAAAAGACTCGCTTCGCTCGCTGCGCTCGCTCGCTCGTAATAATACCCCCACCACCCGTGAATTTAGTGCAATATCCTCCTTTCGCCCCACCAACGGCAGGTTCGTTTTCCACGATCCCGCCTTGTCTCTTACCGCTGTGCGATCACGTGTTTGGAAATGTCTGATTTTTGTCACTTTTGACCGTATTTTGGAGATGCCTGGTCACAATGTCACATTTGTGTGACAGTTGGGAACCGTCGACATTTTGAACCATATTACTATCGACCCTGTGCCGCTCGTTGCAGACCAAAGGGCAACGGTGGAACGCCCGACTCGAGAAGTGGCGCAAGGAAGCCGAAGGGAGCGACATGGAGACGGACGACGAGAAAGACGACGACGAAGACGAGAACGGAGACAAGAAGGAAGCCGAGAACGGAGACAAGAAGGAAGCTGAGAACGGAGGCGGAGGCGGAGGCGAGGACGGCGTGGTGCCGGACCCGGACGCGGAGACGGACGAGCAGCTGCGGCGGCGCTCCTTCACCATCAAGAAGCTGGTGCGCCTACTGCACGTCCGCAGGCCGGTCGAGCCCGTCATGGCCATCGTCGGCAAAAAGTGAGCAGCCGCACCGGGTCGGTGACGGTGGTCTGATGATTCGTCATGCTCCGCGCGAGTGTTTTTTAGAATCGTTAAGTAAATTGTCCATATCAAATGGGTTTTGTACTTAGCATTGACCTCAAATCAATTTTTTATTCTGCATTTTCTTTGCTCAGTTAGCGAGCTTTCATCTGCGCTAAGCCGTGTGTCTCACACTCAGTTGTTCCATTGTCAAGTCATGCTTTGTGCTGCTGCTTATCGTTCGGACTTAGGCTTATTACGATATTTTTATGAGGCTATTCACAGGATAAAATGTATCACAGAATGGTCTATATCCAACGCCGTCATGGAATATCTTATACCTATTGCTTCCCCTATTATACCTTCGCTGATGATCGAATACCACGCCCTGTACCGTGCGGTGTCTTTTTTCACTGACTGCCCGACCCCACCCCGCACCGCGCTCACCCCCTCTCACCCCCCCCCCCCCCTCCCGCGCCGGTGTCAGGTACCCGGCCGACCCGGACGCGTTCCGACGCAGCGGCCTGCCGGGCACGTTCGACTCGTCCCGCTCTGGCCAGAGGATGCGTCTGCCGGTGCCGGAGACGTGGGAGACTCAGGTGGCACAGCGCGGCAACAAGGCCGAGGTGTGGCAGCAGCTGATCGGTGAGTGAAGGGCTCATGGGGGGGGAGGCTCCGGGTGAGCAGCAGGGGGGGGGGAACTCCAGCTGAGCGGAGGGGGAGGGACTAAGGCTGGTGGAGGGAGGGGGACCCCGACCGGGGCGGAGGGACAGACTTGGAGCCCCGGCGGGGTCGATGATGGGACAGTCGGGTGGTGGTTAGGGATTCGAGCGGGGCGACTATGAAACAATCTAGTGGTGGGGAGGGACGGGGTGAGGAGGTCGAAATGGCTGCGGCAGTAATTCGTTAATAGTTACGGAGCGAGCGAAGCGAGCGTAGTCTTTCCTTAGATTAACGGAAATTTCTGAGTATGAGCGGCCGGCCGGCCGGCCGGCCGTGGTCACGCTTTTGCGAGGCTTATATCTCAGCAACCACTTGACCGATTTACACGCGGTAATTTTTATAGGGTAGCTTCATTCCTTCTACCAAGTTTTGGACTATTCCCGATGCATGTGGGTGACCCCTTATGCACGTGCCACGTGCAAAACGAAGAGGTGTCACTTTTGTAATTGTTGCAATATCTCGGTAACTACTTGGCCGATTGCGCTGAAAGTTGGCATGTAGGTAGGCACCCACTAGGCAATGCATATCCATGTGCCAGAGTTGGGGTGCTCCTGCACGTGCGCACGTGCAGGGGTCGATTCCAGATCTCGAGAACGGCTGGATCGATGGCGCTCAAATTTGGTACATGGTTAGGGACCGGTTAGTAGGGTGCTGTGCAAAAGTCAGTTGGGACCCATTTTGCACGTGCGCACGTGCAGGGTTCCGCTTTCAGATCTCGAGAACGGCTGGGCCGATTGTGCTCAAATTTGGCACATCGCTAGAGACCGGTAAGTAGGGTGCCTTGCACAAGTCAGCTGGAGGTACCCCCTCGAAATTTCGCACGTGCAAGGCTCACCCTCTCGCTCGCTCCGTTTGTCGCCCCAAAAGGCGTTATACTGGTGGTACTGTTGCTAATTGGCGGTGCAGGGTGGCTTGAAAAGGTCCTTTCTTACATTCATTCATCCTCTATCCCTAGTACTCAGCGTAAACAACTAATTATTGGCCGGCCGTCGCTGTAGGCACCACTCCTCCCATTGCTCGCACCGCTGTACCGTAGTCACACCGTAATAACTCCCACTCGTGGTCCCACAGACAACAAGAAGCTGCCCTACATGGCCATGCTGCGCAACCTGCGTAACCTTATCCTGGCCAAGATCGGAGCCGCCCACCACGACAAGGTGATCAGCACACTCACCAACGAGAACGCGGTACTCAACAGCAAACAGATGGTATTCAGGTGAGAGATCGCGCTGTGTTGATTTTATGGATTGTATGGCAGGTGGTGGATTGATGACAGGAAGTGGAACATTCCGTAAAAATAGTTATTTGTGTTTTCCATTTAGCTGCCCTGAATTCGGCAAAATATATTGCAAAAAAGAAACTCATTTATGGTCCTCTGATCTCGGCAGTCATGTTGTTCGGCTCTCGCCATACTTTTTACGGAGCGCTGTAAGTTGGTGTATATTTCTGTGTGATATGGGCCGCGGCATGCTGTCTGGGAGCCGGGAGGACTGTCCCGCTGTACGAACCTCTGCTGATTTCCCACGCCTCGCCAGGTACCTGTCGGCGTACGCGGCGCTGGACGAGCTGGAGGTGCTGATCACCGACTCCCTGGCTGAACAAGAGGCCGCCCGCGCATCTGAGCAGGGTGAAACTCCGGCCGAGCGCGGACAGGCGCGTCGCAGGGGCGCACCCAAGAAGCCCGCCCCACAGCGCTTCTCCAAGGAGTACTGGATTGCCCGCAAGAAGCGCGTGATATCCGCCAAGCAGCAGTGAGTTATGTGCGGGGCTGGTCCGGGCTAGCTGACAGGGTAGAAGCAAGCTTCGGTGTAAGGATTTCGCAAGATGTAGAGGCTAAAGCTGTAGAGAGGAGAGAGTGCTGGGCGGGAGACAGCGCGCTATGTTAGTGTCAGTGGAGTCTCATTGTCAGTGGTATGTCAGCCAGGTGTTAGTGACAGTATAACGTCCAGGGAGATCTCTCAGGACCAGCCTCCAGGGACGGAGGCGTTCCATTCACCACTGACTCCGCTCTGACTGCCGCCAGTGCCATCCCGCCGTGACCAAACTTTCCCCTTCTGTATTTCCCGCGTCTTTATTCACATACTGCTCCGCTGTGACCCACCTACCAACCCTTTATGACCCCTACTGACCCCCTCAGTGACCTCATACTGACCCTCGGTATCCCCTTCTGACCCTTCAGGAAGTCCAAGTACGACCTGGAGGTGGTTCGCCGGTACCGTCTGGCACTGGACCGAGCTGTGGCCATCGCCACCATCCACAACGTGGCGCCCATCTCCGGGCGCACGCTCATCTTCTGTGACGTGTCGGAGAGGATGGACCACGTCTGCGCCTCGGCCAAGGGCATGGGCAAACCGAAAACGGTACGTACGATCGACGGGGTGGTAGAGGCCGACGTGCTGATGAACACGGGCGAGGGGAGGGGGCGTTTGCTGAGCGGATAGTGAGCCATGGAGACGCACTATGAATGGTTTAAATTTTGCTGTTGTTTGTGTGTTTTCTGAGTGAATGACCCGAATTCAATGACTCCTCAGCCAAGCTTTCCTATTGTGTGCCGCCTGCTTTTGCTGGCTTTCTCCGGCGATTCTCAGGGTAGCTAGCTGAAGCTGTTTAGCGGCATAACACATTTCAAATAATCCAATAAAGCTCCCCTTTACACGTCCTTCACCGGTGATTGGACCAGCCCGCCTCTGACCATTTCCCCTGCGTCTGTCCCTCCGTTACCAGGCGCGCACGATGGCGCTGCTGCTGGCGCTCATGTGTCAGCGCTCCTCGGAGCACTGCGAGCTGGCGGTGTTCGGTCAAGGAGCTCCGTACCTCCTCCCGCGCCAGAGGAACGTCAACCTGCTCAAACAGGCAGCTGATGAGGAGACTGCGGTGGACCTACAGCGGCGTCGTGGCTTCGAGCGCAGCGCCGCCGCCGACTGGGGAGATGCTGCTTCTGAGGAGGTAGGTGGGACTGGGTAGTGGGTAGACGCTTGCCTCCGAGGGGCAGGTGGGAAGAGGGGAGGGAGGGACTGGGGAGACGCTGCCTCCGAGGAGTTAGATGGGCCGGGGGGGGGGGGTATTGGTAAACGCCGCCTCCGAAGGGGTAGGTGGAGGAGGGAGGGAGGGAAAGAGTGGGAGGATGGAGTGAAGGGGAAAATGCTCATTCGGAGGATATAGAAAATTAAGAGAGGATTTGAGGAAGGACTGAAGAAACACTAATTCGGAGAGTATGGGTGGAGAAAGAGCGAGGGCTCGATAAAGTAAATGGTTATGGCTCGATAAAGTACTTTTTTACACGCATGTTAATGATTGGGCTTTTGTCATTCTTTCTTCTTCTTTTTTTTTTGTTGTTCTTGCAGATGTAGCTAGGTGATAACTGCATCGGGGTTGGCTTGACACCATCCGTTCGATTTGACGCCATGCACACACTTCACGATTGGGCACATTTATTGACACTGACTCCGTTACGAACGGTATGGACGTTTGAACTGCACCCATTGAGCAGTAAAGCAACTGGCGAACGTCGAGCCACCGAGCTCTCCGGGAGCGCGGTACGGCGACGGTTTCGACACTCATGACGACAAATGATACACTGTGGGCGCCCCTGACACCGACGTGGCGCAACCATGATATAACATCTGACGAAGGGGCACATAGGACTCTGAGACTCGGCAAATAGGTATGCATACGTGCTCTCTCTCTCTCTCTCTCTCTCTCTCTCTCTCTCTCTCTCTCTCTCTCTCTCTCTCTCTCTCTCTCTCTCTCTCTCTCTCTCTCTCTCTCTCTCTCTCTCTCTCTCTCTCTCTCTCTCTCTCTCTCTCTTCTCTCTCTCTCTCTCTCTCTCCCTCTCTCTCTCTCTTTCTCTCTCTCTCTCTCTCTCTCTCTCTCTCTCTCTCTCTCTCTCTCTCCCCTATTCTCTCTCTTCTCTCACTCATTCTTTAATTCTCTATAGCCTTCCGAAGATGCTGCACCACTAAACACCACGGGAGTCGCTTCCCCCGACAGTAATGTCACTGATATTTCACATTTCCCCTCACTTATCCCGGCTCGCCCGTCTCTAAGCTACCCTCTTTCCTTCTCAGTCATGCTCTGAGGACATGTCGGCCGATTCTTCATCCGACCCGGAGTGCGAGTCCAACTCTCCACAGCAGAAGAGCGGCAAGCCGAAGAGCGTTCTGATGCCAGGCTATACACCTGCTCAGCTGTCTGAGGGTGTGGCTGCTGTGGAGTCCGCACTCGACTTCTGCCTCCACGAACGCCAATGGGTGAGTACCAGCCGCTGTTTCGGACACCGCGAGACGGGCAGACAGCCGACAGTTGAGGATCACAGTGGACGTCGGGTGGCGCCGGTCGGGGCTCTTTGGTACGGCACTGGCCGCGCTCGGTCCTGGCACGCCTTGGTGTCCTGACCGCGCCGGGCTCGGCCCAAACCGGTGGCCGGCGCTGGTAGTCTGATCCGCACGTCACTAACCACTGAGCGTCCAGGCTAGGTTCTGCACCACCACACCTCATCACTCGCCGCTCCGACACTCGGTTCTATCGCCCGGGCCTCGGCGTGTCCCTGACCTGCACCGGCCTGGGCTGTAATAGAGTCCACACGCGCACACCGCTCCCTCATCGCTGGTCGAGTTCCGTCTCTCCAGGGAACGTTACATAGTAGGGCGCCCCCGGGTAGTAGCCGCGTGCCGATCCGGCCCGGCCGCCGCCGCCTCCGCCCACTGTACTCAGCGTGCCGTAGATGCCGTTCTGCATCACATAGGAACCCGGTGGCGGCACGGCCATCTTGCTGGAGACGAGAGTACCTGAGCGGCTGGCGGGCGCCGGCGGTGGGCCGCCCACCATCGGGTAGCCGGGGTAGGTGAGGTAGTTCCACTGGGGTGGCGGCCCGGGCGGGCCCGGCGGGCCGGGTTTGACGCAGGTACAGCCGCTGGGCGCGCGGAGGGCCAGCGGGCCGGCCAGCGGACCGCCCTGGTACTCGCGGCTCGAGTCCCACCGCCAGAAGCAGCAGAGGCGGCACACGCAGACGCAGACGATCACCAGGATGATGAGAGCCACCACACCTGTGAAACAGAGTGGAAGAGGTGTTAGGGGTGATGCTACCGGGGAGAGAGTTGTAAAACTGTAGGGAGACGAAAAAAAAAAAACGGAAGCAGCAACACAACGAACAACCGAGCGAACGAACAATAAGCAATGAGTTCCAAGAGTTTCCTCGGTGTCACCTCCTCTTTGGTACCAGGTCCCCTCCCCTCCCGACTATCCATCCCTCCCGTTACGCACCTCCCACGATGCCGATGATGAGCGCGTCCATGTTGTTGACACCGGCCTGTTTGGCCGTCTCCGGGTCGGCGGGTGCCGGCTCCGACTCCAGCTCGGGCTCCGGCTGGCGCGGCGGCAGCGTCCAGATGATGTCCGGACGCGCCGTGGTCGTGGTGCGTCGTGTCGTGAACACGATCTCCGTGGTGGTGGTGGTCTGACGACCGGCGCAGGTCAGCTGGTCGGCCTGGAGCGCCGTCAGCCGCCGGCCCGACAGGTCGGCCGGCGCCGCGCACCTGCGGGGAGAGAGGGTGGGTCAGTGTTGGTCAGGGTCCGGTGGAGGTGACGGCTTCCGCACACACGAGGAAGCAATGGTAGGACGGAGTATCTACCCAGTGGTCTGCCCTTAATAGCTTACGATGTCCGTGATAGCGTCAGGTGTCCCTAATCGTCTCTAATGATAATCAGCTTAGAGTTTATATGGAAGGGTTGATGAATTGCACAGAGTAGAAGGAAAACACTGAAAGAAAACTAATTTCTTAGTTCATCCCTGATCGTGATGTGGGAAGCATTTATCAAAAGAAAGGACTTATCACATCGATCACCAGAGATGGACTTCACTTTTCGATCGTGACGTCAATTAGCATGAGTAATGAGAGCCGACAAGAAGGGACATTTCAATGTCCAGCTCTGGACTATTCAGCTTGGTTAGTTCTGCCACACCACTCCCTCACCTGATGTCCCTGAAGTCGTCGTCGAGGCGGTCCTGCCGCAGTTTCTCGAGGAGCCAGCGGCGCAGCGGCGCGGCGTTACAGTCACAGAAGATGGGGTTGGAGGCCAGGCCGGTGAGGCTGACGGTGCGCTGGCGGTCGTCGAGCCGCGCCAGCAGCTGTGGACTGACGCTGGTCAGCTGGCTGCCGCGGACGTCCAGCGCCACGGCCGTGGACAGCGGCACGGGCAGCAGCATCTTGGTGGGGATGCCGGCCACCGAGGTGTCTGCCAGCACCAGGCGCACGGCCGGGCTGCTGAGGCCGGCCAGCGCGCCCGTGGAGATGCTGCGCACCGCGCGGCCGTGCACGCCGAGCTCGCGCAGCCGCGGGAAGAAGGCCGGGTGCAGCTGGTCTTGCAGCACCGGGTCCTTAACCTCCACGTGCACCGCCTCGAGCGTGCTGAGACGCTCCAGTATGCCCTTGACGTCGAGCGCCGTGACTCCCGGGTAGGAGTGTAGCGACAGCTCGCGCAGGGACGGTAGCGACTCGAACGCCGTCTTCTCGATACGCGAGCATTTGGCGAGATCGGTGAGCCGCAGTTTCTCCAGGTTGTTGAGGTAGGTGAAGTCGCCGCGGATGACGTACGAGATGGGGTTGCCAGAGACGTCCAGCTCGCGCACGAAGCGCAGCTTGGGCCAGATGGTGGCCAGACCGAAACTCAGGTTGGGAATCTGGTTGTAGGAGAGATCGATGGTCTGTAGGAGGGTGGGTCGCTCGAACAGCGACTCGGAGATCTTGACGACGTCGTTGCGTGACAGATTGAGTACGCGGAGGTAGGGCGTCTCCAGGACAGGGATAGTACGAACGCCGCATCCGACCAGGTGCAGCTCGCGCGCCGCCTTCGGCTCATTCATCAAGATCTCGACTGAGTCTGGTGACAGCGGGTTGAAGGACAGGTCGAGTATCTTGACGTTGGCCAGAATATCCTCCTTCGGCGGGATGGAGCGCACCTGGTTGTGAGACATGTTGACGTCGTCGAGGAAAATGAACTGCTTGCGAAGCGCGTCCAGCGGCATCGTATCGAACCTGTTGTGGGCGAGGTTAATCTTCTGCAGCATCTGCACCTTGAGCCGGCTGAAGATAGCCTCTGGCAGCGTACTAAGCTGGTTGTTGTTGAGCTCGAGCGCCAGGCGGACCAGACCACTGAATGTATCCTCATGCAGCGTCGTCAGCCGGTTGTGGCTGAGGTCGATGAACTGGAGTTGCGTCGAGTTCTGGAAGGCGGTCTGGTTGATGTTGGTCATGTTGTTGCCGCTGAGATTGAGCTGGCGCAGGTGTGGCATCCCGGAGTAGTCGCTACTGGAGATGCTGGTGATGGTGTTCGACTCCAGGTTCAGATGCTCCAGCTTGGTCGAATCGGCCAGCAACTCGGCTGGGAAGAACTCGAGCTTGTTGTGGCCGAGGTTGAGCCAGCGCAGGTTCGAGTGGATTTTGAACGCGGCCGGGTACAGGAACGTGATCTCGTTGTGACTGAGGTCGACGATGCGAAGCTCGGTTCCGTCGGTCGTCACGTTGAAGTAATCCGCCTTGAAGGTGGCCAGCTGGTTCGAGTCGAGTTTGAGGATGTGCAAGAAGGGGACGCCGCTGAAGGCGGCCGGCTGCACCACCGAGATGTTGTTGGCGCTGAGGTCGAGTGTGTGCAGGAACGGCAGACCGACGAACGCCTGTTCGGGCACCTCACGGATCCGGTTGTGCTGCAGCTGGATGACATTGACGTTCGACTCGGCTAATGTGGTGGACGGCACGGCCGCGATCCGGTTGTCGCTCAGGTCCAGGTTCGAGATCTGCGGCAGGTCCTTCAGCAGCCGCGCCGGCAGCGCCTCCAGCCGGTTACCGCTGATGTCGAGTTCCTGCAGCCGCGGCAGCAGCGCGAACGCGTCATCCTCCACCTCAGCAATGTCATTGCTCTCCACATTCAGCTTGCGCAGCTTGGGCAGGCTCAGCTTCCCGAGTTTGGCGATCCGGTTCATGCCCAGGTCGAGCTCCTGAAGCGTGCCGTTGACGCCGTCCACCATCTCCGCTGACACCTCGGGGATCTGGTTACCGCGCAGCGACAGCTTCTGCAGCCGCGAGAAGTCCTCGAACGTGCCCACCGGCAGCTCGCGGATCACGTTGTAGGCCAGCGAGAGCTCGCGCAGGCCGGCGATGCCGGAGAGCGTGTCACGCGCGATCACCCCGATCCGGTTGTGCTCGAGTGAGAGGGTGCGCAGGGCACTGAGCGGCCGCAGCGCCTCGTGCGGCACGTACAGGAGGCCGTTGTCGTCCAGACTGAGCGTCTCCAGCCGCGACAGACCGCGGAACGTGCCGCGGAAACCGTCATCACCCTGCCGAAGAGGAAGGGAAACGTCTTAGCACATGGTGTTGCACTCTGTTACAGAGTTGCGGCCAGCCGGTTTGACTTGCCTTAGCCGAACGGACGGCAAATTTCTTGCCTTCCGTCGATGGGCATAATGGCTCGAAAGCTTAAACACATTTGCATGCTAGATCATATGCTCGATAATTCTAATCATGGTGTTCACGCGTGATAATTTTATTGATTACTCGATAATGTCGATACTCTGGACTAATGTTATGCTGATTTGAGGCTGGTTTTCCACCTAGCTCACCCTCGGACAATCATAGGTCACTTCATTTGCATAACGTTATCTCATTTACCTAGATCATACAAAACAGAGCAGAACCTGGTCAACCTCAAACGAGTCTGTTTGCTCGCCACGCTCCGTCGTAATACCGATTCGGTAATCGCTCACTTATGTCATCACAGATATTACTTCTCTGCTGATAATCACATGGTGACGTCACCATACCGATTTACGGGCTGCCATATGACAACGGACATCGGCGTGAGCATGGACCCGTGAGCCATAACGATAATTGCTGCGGTGTATCGAAGTGTGTATTAGAGCGTGAAAAAAGGGTTGTGCGTGTGGGTCGTAACGGCACCTATCATGACGCTTATTTGTTTGATACTTGTAATTGTGAACTAGGGGCTAGGGCAGGGTTCAAAGAGCAGTGAACTTACATAGCTGACCATTGACCAACCCGATCTTTCATTTCACGTGCTTAGGACCCATGACACGAATACCTACCCAGTAATATGTAAAGGAGTAGAGAGGAAACCTGGTAACCAAATCAGAACTCGGAATCCCTGACGCTGTAAGCTCTTTTTTCGTGATCATGAGACGTTTTAGAGGGCTGGGTGTAGGCCTTTGAAACTCGAATATTTTATATCGTAAATGAGTGTTTGCTAGTGCGTAGGTATGGGAGATCTGATTCTGATTGAGAGCGCTAAAATAGCTGCTGTTGTTTATGGTGTCCTTTTCTATTGAAGCGTGGTATGAGGTGGGAGTAGTAGAATCCGTTACTCGCGCAGTTTCCATATTCATTGGTTAAATGAGGTGCGTTCCGGACTTGGGGTCAGAAGATCAGGACACGACTCCGCTCAGTCTTAGTCTCGGCTATGACATGTTTTATTTCCATTGTTTTTCGTTGGTGTCAGTCGGCTCCATTGGTATCTGCAGGTCCAAAATTATCTCGCGATAGTTGCTCCTTTCACACTCAGTCCTGATAAAAAAAAGCTTTCGGATGAACCTGACCTTGCTGAATCTAGCAAAAAGTGACAAGCGAATGAGATTTACATAATTTTTCTATGTGCATATGATCGAATGCTGCTGCATACATAGTGCTTAGGTAGTATGTAGGACTCCTGAACTGTAGGCATAGCTGGTGTGGCCTGTGCTACCAAAGACCATCCTTAGTATTTCGCGGTCTTATAACAACGTCTTTTCCATCCGGGTCGTATTCTCCCTACTGTTCCGACGCGACCTTTGGTGACCTCTGCCACTCTGTGCCTGTCTGACCTTTGGTGACCTCTGACCTCCGAACAGTGATCCCGAACGTCCTTGCGTCAAGGACCGCGCCGCACCTCCCGCTCACTCATTGGTAATCCGGCTTCACCTATGCAGTTTGTGCACGCCGCACTGTATGCAAAGCAGTGCGAACCTCAGCAGCGGAGGGACGGCGTCGGACGCGTGGAGACCGCGCCCCGCGGCGCTCCGTAACGGTGCCGGCCGGACGGGCCGCCGCCGGCCGAGACGGCGCGGGACGGCATTCCTGCGTGCTCCGGCCGACCGGGCCCCGGTCACCGGGCAGCACAGGGTGGAGGGAGTGGAGCGGGCGAGAACCGGACCGGGTCCGGGTGGGATGGAGGAGGGTGGGGGTCGACCTACGATACGCAACTTTTGAATTAGCTATTAAGAAATAAGTGAGGGCGAAATTTTGCTGTAGTTGACCCCTACGACCGTGACTGTCCTTTCTTCTCAACTGCCAGGCTGGACTAGCCACGGTAGCACGCGGTCACCGAACAAGTGATCTAAACCTCAGATGATCCACACCGAGGCTAGCCTCGGTAGCGCAGTATCTGTTTCTCCACCGGTGTTGTCTCACTACCGGCAAGCACAGGCAGTCCGTCGTAAACTGACCACAGACGTACAGATAGCCCTGTCACCGGTGACGGACGGTTCTCCGGTAATGGACCGTGCTCCGGGTCATCCGCGGGCGCCGGCGGCGCCGCGGAGGCTCTCCCGGCCTCCGTGAACCCCCGTCCTACTGTCGCGTGACTGATGATGTCCCGAGGAGTACTGATCCGTGAGAGTACTGATCCGAGCCCACCCGCGGTGGAGGACGCTTCTCCGCGTCACCAGTGCCAGTGCTGATTAATGGTGATCGTTTTGGTGTCAATGGTATTGAGATCGTTTAGTGAGCTGTTTCTGTAAGGAAGCTGGAAAGAGAAGCGGCTTTCAGCCGGCAGTGCAGCAAGACTGGGGAAATGAATTGAATACTGTTAGTCTCGCTTCTAATGCGATCGGGAGATGCTCATTGCTCATTATGTCGGTAGTGAGTAGAGGTAATAGACGGAGAAGCTGAAAGATAACGGAAAATGAAGTATGACTCACAGATGAGGAGTCTGGAGGATGACGAGTGATGGTAAATGACGCTTATTTTCGTCCGATGACTCTGATCAGCTCTGTCGCTGAACCCGTTAGCCGCCTTTCCAACTTGCGCACAAACCGCCCAATCTCTAACTAACATTACTACTGCGCTCTCCAACTTCGAATACTCTTCCTTCTCCAGACTTTTTCTTTTCCTCCTACCATTGACAGCCAATAGTTGCCTACTACCACTGAATGGATGCTCGGCAGACACTTTTACTATTATTAATGTCATCTTCCCATTTCTTTTGACCCATTCCCTCTCCAGAACCGGTCAGCAGTTTCTACACCTATTTTCTGCGCCATCCATTCCCTCCCCCAGCGCCGCTGAGCTCACGGATCTATGTTCCGACCGTCATCGGTTCTCATGCGGGCGCTGGCGCCGCGGTCCGACGGGCTGGTTCAGTGACCCTCACCCTGGCGGGTCAGCACGGGTCGACCGCTGGGGAGACGCCAGCGTGTGAAGGCGGCAGTCAGAACCGCACTCCGCGGTCCGCGCCGACAGACGGGTACGGTTCGGAGTCGTGTGTGGAATCATGATTGTTCTTTTGGGTGAGGAATTCTGCTCTTGGGTCGCCTGAGCAGGTAGGGCGATTGGCTATGAAATGCTTCTATTGCTGTGCCATTGGTAACTGCTAAGTGATCTTCTGTAGTTGGTAACCCTACCTGGGTGATACTCTACAGTCTACACTCTACATGATACACCGATACACCGAATTTTCATAACTGATAATGGCCAAAACACTACGGTGTAATTTCGCAAGTGCATGGACTGACTTGAGACTGGCGTAATATCCAGCGATACCCACCTGTCTGATCATGTTGACGCCGAGCCGCAGCTCCCTGAGGTTGACGAGCGGCTCGAACGTGCCGTCGGCCAGGGTGGCGATGTTGTTCCGGGTCAGGTCGAGCACCTCCAGGCTAGAGAGGGGCGCCAGCTGAGACGCCTCCACGCCCTGTGGAGACGGCGGGTCATGGGTCAAGGTCGATACCGTAAAATATAGACTGGCTGGGTGTAGGCGGTGAGTGTGGGCTGAGGGCGAGGGATGGTTCCATTTTGACTAGTCTTCATTTTCACCTTTGGCTGACTATTTCGCACCTCTATACTAACCTACAGCGGTCTTTTGTAGCCCTGGATCTGTTATGTTGGTAGAAGACCGCATGAATAAGGTATTGAAGCTGTTGGATGAAATGTGTGAAATTTTTACCAAGTCTGCTGATATCGCTCTGAATTCTTCAGTACATTCCCGATATTGCCTCAACTATGCCCAGCTCGCCGCTGTGGATTCCTTTCGTATCTCTCTGGCATCCATCAGGAGGTTTCTCAGCCTCTTTGCCCTCCAGTCGGCCGATCTTGTCGATAGACGTTCCAGTGGAGAGTGCGATGATGACATGTCATCACCGATCGCGTCGGTGAGAGGCCGGCCTCAGGAGCGCACCTTTGTCGGCGAGAGAAGCGCGCGGCACGGCCAGTTTCGCCATGCATTCTCCGGTGGACAGGGAAGCAGCGCGCTGCCGGCTCCGTACCTGCGGGTGCGAGAGCTCCTCCCCTGTTCGGCCGCCGAGCGGCTTGCTTGTGTGTCACGATCTCAGTGGAAGGTAATGGGCGCAGAGGAGGCCATAGCGGCCACGATCGGCCGTGAGGCGAGGCGCATGTGACGGCCGCTTTGGTTCGTGTTGTGCGGCGAGGACGCTGGGGGCCTGCCGTCGGGGGTGCTTGCGGGCATCTTATCTCATGATGGGGCTCTGCATTACTTTGAGATTCTTTGAACCGCTTATGAAACCATACCCAGAGACCTGATAAATATCCAGCGATTGAGTTAAAACTAAATATTTAAATTAAATTAAACTAAAGTCAGTATTGGGCGTCTGTTATTTTTTCGTCACGGGCACGGGAGGGGATGAGGCAGACGGACACGGAGAGTGGCCGCGTCTCCCACGCGTGACACGCCGTCCCAATGAAGCCGTCCGGACACGCTGGGCTGCCCTGTCTGTACAGTCACCAGCACTTGCTACCCATCACCCCCGGACGGCGGGGGAGCAAGCTACCACCGCCCTTGCGAGACTAGCGCAGCCATGCGCCAAGAAGTGGAAACACCACGTGACTGAGGCCACGTGAGGGCAGGGTCACGTGATGGAGGGGCGGAGCATAGTAGCTTTTGCGCCCGACACTAACTGAAATGCGGCGCTGTGATTGGGCGCTTTAGCATGAATGAAGCCCCGGCGCCAGAATCAGCCGTTCGCCTTATATGGAAGGTAAGCCTGTGCGTTTCACTGTTCTGTGTTGGTTTGAGAGCCACGGCACCATACGAATTGTGAGCCCCTTTGAACGGGTCACCGCCCGAGGCACTGAGGCGACGGCTGTGCCGGGCAAAGCCTAGCCTGGTGGGAGAGGTGGGCCAGGGAAAGTGCGATCGAGCAGCCACACTGAGACGTGGATTGGTATTATCTAACCGGGACAAACGATGTCAGCAGCCTCTTCTCGTTGACACGAAAACTTTGACAGACAACGTTGGCAGTGCCCAATCAAAAGCTACTAAATGATTCAGTTAAGAAGTTGGCGAGATAACCAGACCCAATAAAAAGTTTTTAATTCGATTTTGATTGACAAATGACATACAAGCCCGCTGTGATGGACCAAAAAAGGAGCTGAACAGTTCATACATCTTCTAAAAAGCTCAATGGTAAAAATTTAAAAGTCAAATGTTAAAATTCAGCCTGCACGGGCTGCATGTTTAAGCTCGGGTCCGGCACTGCCAGGAAGCTTATATTGCCAGGCTTGCAATTCCACTACGTTGTAATATAACCAAGAGTTATGTGAGAGCAACAACTAAAAGCCTCGAGCCCCGTTGGGGGGAGCGGGCGCGAAACAGCCCCGTCTCCTTTTCAGTCGATATCTCTTAAAGTATAGCGTAGGTCGCCACCAAACTTTCAAGACCCCTCCGGGCATCATTTTACACCTTGTGACCAAATTTTTCCAGAGCTCTTATGAAAGGTTAGTCACAAATGACGTCAGAGTGACCTCATGTTCTGTCATTTTCGACCCAATAAAAGGTTTAGCAGGAAGAGCTGTCACGCTTAGGGTAAGGTGCCTAATTAGCGACCCTTTCCGATTTGCGACCTACCTCCCTACAGAAAAACTGGCAGGAGAAAACGGGGTAAAAACATCGTCAAAGGGTCAGCCATACTTTGGTTATCAAATTAAATTATTTTCCGGTCGTCGATGTTTCTGGTGGGACGTTTCAGGTGAGTTTAAATAAAAATGACGAGTTTCTTATCCAAAACGTGTGTGTTTGGGCCCTCTGAGATGAAAAGCGATGCACATTAGGATGATGCACATTTTTTATTCTGAATCGACATTCCTTTTTCAATTGATTGCCGTTTTCCTATAGTGAATCGCTGAACTGTGCACAGCATGGCGGCTAAAAATGAGTCGCAACTCATATTTCCTATTTGCGCCTGACATGGTCGCAAATAGCTCAAGATGGGAAAGAAAGGGGAAAAGAGAGAAATGAAAATGAGGTGTTGCTGAAGCTTGCAATGTGTGGCAGGGGATGCCAAATGTTATCACCGACTGCAGGGGTGCCGAATTCAGCACGGACCTCGAATATCATACGAGATAGCCCGCAAAATTTGGGTTTCCGCCTTCTTTTCGCCTTCGGTGCATCACGTGATCAGTTTTTACTTACGTAAATGTGTTTGATAAACGTCCCGGTTCGAGTGATTGAGTGCTTTGCGTATAGGTTACCTTTTTGAGGTCATATTTCATCTTTTCAGGCGTCGCATTTTTTGCCATTTTTAATATGGGGAAACCCATAGACTTATTAGCGACCCTCCCCGGTCGCTAATCGGGAAGAGTTCCCTATTAGCGTTTTTTGCAATGGGTTGCCAAAATGCTCACTACAAATAAGTTAGTGAATATTGGGGCAGAAAATGACTATATTTTAATAGAAAAATGAACGATCTCTCCGAAAATCAAGCCAGTAATACAGTGGCACCCACAGAGCGTGAGCAATGACGGTTCAAATTAAGGGGGTCGCTAATGAGGCACCTTACCCTACAGTTTTGAAGATAACAAAAAATAGGTATTCAAGATAAAAAAGATGTAAAATAAACAGCGCTACAAAACTGCCAACTCTGATTTCTAAACAAAAATTGATTTCGACCATCAAAACTATAGAAGTATAACACCCCGAAAATACCAACAACATTCAAAATTAAATTTGGAATATATTTTATAGAACTATCTGCACTAGATATGCCAAACCTAAACTCGACAGCTCCATTTTTAGCAAAGTTATGGCAAAAAAATGTATTACGTAAAATTTTCAAACTCAATTTTTAGCCGTCACAGAACACACAGAGCAAGCGAAAGACCACCATTGGATTTCCCGTGATGAGCTGCATCGAATAGATACCCCTTTTATGCAAAATATTAACTCTGAAATTTAACCTTTTTTGACCTGACCTTGACCTGACCTCCACCAGAACGTAATATAAACCGGCTCCAATGGCCGTCTAGCCCACACCATTGAATTTTAAATGTAAAATTGACCATAAAACATGTATCACGCGACCCTAGCAATTAGCATAGCCCGGCGGCCGCTGGGCCTCCGCGCCACCCGGGCCGCGGGCCGCTGGGGGGGGGGGCATATAGTTGCCCCCCCTTTACTTCTACGACGATATCGTCGCAACGCGAAGAGATAGAGAGGCGAAACTTTGCACACATCTTTCTGAATACCTAGCCGAGGTTGTGTCCAAATTTGGTGTCGATCCCATTTGAAATGACGTCACAGTGACGTCATAAGTGAAATTATAGATTTGCGACTCTCATATTCCTCACGATACATCAGATATATGGGACCGAATATAAAGGGTCGATTATTGGTCAGAAACTGGATGGAAGTGTAGTTAGATGTTTTAGGATGACAGCAGGTGCTGTCTAGTTCATTTACAGTTGAGTTTCATGCTCAGCGTCATCAGAAACGGTCCATATCGGAAAACGACAAAACTTTATGACGTCACTGTGACGTCATCTTAGGTGCTACAACCATCAAACTTTCCTCAAACATTGCCTAGGTATTCATTTGAAGCTATGCCAAGTTTCACGTTCGTAGCTCATTCGGTTTCGGAGATATTTCACAAAACGTAAAGGGGGGCAACTTTATGCCCCCCCCCCAGCGGCTCGTGGGATAGTTGGGTTCATATTGTGACCCTTAGTGACCTGACCTCTTTGACCTGACCTGGCATCAGTGACCTCTTTAGGCAGCATATGTATTGGGCAACCACGCTCCATCGATGTTTTTCGATAACATGCCTTTTATTTGATGTGTTAACTGACTGTAACGCATTCCTTAGACTAAATCGGTGAAAAAATGCAACCTTTGACCTGACTTGTGACGTCATGGGTTGCACCTAGGTCAAAGAAACCTGGAAACAAGGTTCGATAGCCCCTGATAGGGCTATCGAACGTTCTTCGAATTTTCAAAATCGGTCGGTAACTTTCCGAGATCTCAGGTGGAGGACGAAACGGCTGCACCACCCCATCAGGTGGTAGGGTCCGCCAATAGCCCAACGGGGCGCGAATTATTTACTCATTCATACAGTGTCATCTATTTTGAGAACACCTTTCTCACGCCATGACATGGTCCTCTCGTAATAGATCGAGATGAGGAGAGTGTTTTCACGCCTCCTTATGCACGGCTCTAGTGTCATTGAGCTATCAACTGTCAGCGGTTTTCGGACAATGAAGGAAGGCTTTTGGTCGTTTTTAGGTAAGATGGGTCAGATCATTTCAGTGGCGGATCCAGAGGGAGGGCATGGGGGCCATTCTTCCCCCCCCTGGGCCTCCAGGGGGCCCATCACGAAGTTTTTTTTCTTCAATTCATCACGGACGTCACCGACGGGAGATTTAACCCAGAGGTCTCCTAAGGGGGCACCATCCAGAAGGTCTATC